GATTTTTTTAAAGTGTAACATCGGTATGTAGTAAGTGTAACAACATACCGATGTTACACTTTAAAAAAATCTTTTTTGTTGTTACACTTTGAAAAAATTCGACTTTGTTGTTTCATTTCAATAAATTTTTTATTTTTGTTTCACTTATATGTGTTGTGCATAGAAGTTGCGTTTTCATTCTCGGACATTCATATATATATATATCAAACGAACAGCATATCTCATTTACCCATGAATTGTATCATATGATCCACTCTATTGGCTACTTTAATGTCACCATCGGCGACATTCGAATCTGATGTCTTGCAGCGCAACTAATGACTCATATAATTTTCTCTCTCTCTGAATCTTATCATGGCATGCAATCTGTGTCGGACTTGAATCAATCACCGTCACAGTTGATGACGCCCATTATAAATTATTCAATTAAATGTACATTTCTCCTTGTCATAGTCTCTAAGTAAAGTTGTTTGCTTATTTCTATTTTTTTAAAAATTTGATGCCATTTTCCGGAGGTCTCATTAGTTTTCCTATCATTTCTATTATTCAAGCGTTACCAAAAGAAAATGAAGAAAAAATCCACATTTGTTTCATTTTTTTTTATTTATTTCCCATGTCTATGTTAGAAACAAAAAGAAGAATGTGTAAACCGAAAAAAAATCTGCTATTTTTGGATCAAATGAATAATAAAACAAAGAATAGATAGATTTTATTAATCATTTATTTGTTTTTCTCTCTCTTCATCTACTTAAATGAAAATATAGTTAAACAAAGCCACTGGAATGCAAACGAGTGGCTCAATGTGTGATTTTAATTTCTTATCTTGGTAATGAATTTAATTTCGCGCAAATTCTCGGTGTGAATAAAGAAACAAAAGAAGAGACAATGTTTGGACTTGTTTGCAGTGTGATCAAACAACAGCAAAGAAAAATAAGAGGAATATTACTAGATTTACATTACGTAAAACATTCGCTTAACACAGTTCAATGAATGTTTTATGAGACCAGAGTAATGTGCGTGTGCGAATCACCAATCGAAAATTAATCCGGTTACAAAATATTTGTTCTTATGTCGACACTCTCTCTCTCTCTCTCTCTCTTCTTTCTTTCTATTTGTTTGTTTTTTAATTAATGGTTTAAATGCTCTACAAATGTCCGGGGCCTTTCATTTCATTCATTTCGTTATAAAAGCTAAAAAAAAGGATCGCATTTTGGTTGAATTAGTAAATTGATTTCGTTTGAAATCATTTGGTTTTAAATGCAGTTGATTTCTACCCGCTGAATGTTTGTTTTTCTTTTATTTGATCTGCATCTTTTTACGGTTTATTTATTTTTTTGTTTTGTTTTGTTTTGTTTTGTTAAATTTAGTCTTTGTGATGGTGTGTGGCGGCATTGTCTTTGGTGATAGAGAAGTCTAGACGCGTCCATACAATCACGATCAAAAATAGCGCATACAAAAATCCAATGATCAACAATGGCTCTTGGACCATGAGCACTTTGCTGAAATTGTACTTCAGATTGAAGTCGACAATGTGATTTTCGACGAGATTTTGTTTGGTAAACACAATCACTGGCCGTCCAACGGTATCCAAGTAGGTGTAGTGCACTTGGTCAGGCAAACGGGTCACCGGATACGGTGGAATCAATTTGATGTTGCTCGTTCCTTCGGGCAGAATAATTTTTACGGTTGCCTTTTCAATGACCATATCATCGTAGACATGATCAATGACACGCATTTTCAATACATATTGATCACCGCTGCTAAACAAGTACTCAAAGCTTGGCACATTGTAGCCAATGGTGTAGTGAGTTTTCCATCCGCCAAACAATGGAAAGCGTGGTCTTAAGTCCAATTCAACTGAATCCTTCAAAATGCGCATTGCCGATGTGGATATGTTACCGTTTGTATCTCTGAAAATCGATTCGAAATAAGAAATCATAAGACTCATCAAAGTAAAACGCTGATTTTTCATTCCAATCTTCGAAGAAAAAAGTGTGCTTCGCCAACAGTGTGTGTGTGTGTGTGTGTGTGTGTGTGTGCTTACCTGTAGTAAACTTCGGTGGCTGATGCTGGCAAAATGGTTTTGTATGATTTGACGCTTGGTTGATTGCTTCGGGCATCCTTTTGATAATCGTAACGAGAGAATGAACCCTTCAAAACGGCACCGGAATGAACGATATCGATGGTTTCCTCAACAGCAATATTGCCCCAGTGTGACACTTCAATGACGCGCTCCAAGTTTGTGATGGTCAAAAATGGCGAATTGTTTTCGTAGTGAACGGTAATTGGTTCGGTTGAGTATGCTATCGAAAGAGATGATTCACATCAAAATATCGCTCCAGAAAAAAAAAACACTTTTCAATTTTTTATTTCGACTTACGTGCAACATTTTCGTATGGTCCGTATGTAATGGTGCCATCGACTTGTGCGGATGGTTTCACAGTGGTGTAGCTCTCGACCGATTTTGATGCAAGTTGAACGGTGGTCTTTTGTGTGACAGTTCTGTACGGGCTGTAGGAGTAGGCACTGTCAAAGTAACGCACCAATTGTCGTTCGTTTTGTGTGATATGCGTTGGATATGGTTCCAACGATTTTGAGAAGACAGTTTCAACATGCAAAACGGGTGTCGGTGATGAACTGGTCACCGATACGGTGAACAATGAACCGTCAGCAGTTTTCTCTTCCGTTGCTTTCAGTTCCTTCTTGAGTGCATCACGAATGGAAATGTACGCCAAATTGTCACGGATATCCTTTGGTACAGCAAATGAGTATGAAACACCAGACCATTCTTTGGTCGCTTTATTCTCAAGTGTGATTTTGTGGAAAATCTTAACCAATTGCGTGGTCAAATCGATGGTGCGCTCAACATTCTTATTTTGAATATTTGAATCGATTTGCACACCGGCCGCATTCAATGCAACCAATGAAATGGTAACTATCGCAACAATAAGAGGATTTCTCATTTTTGTTTAATTGTTCTCCACCAATTTGCCGATGAAATATTAAAAAGCCGACAACAAAATAAGTGAACCTATCGCACTTTATATACTACCACCGTGAACCGAACAAGAAGAAAAAGATATTAGATGAGTTGACACGACACGCATACTAACTTCTGTCAAAAAAAACGAACCGAAGTTCTAAGTTGGCAGCAAATTGTAGGTTGGCACCCATGAATGACGAAAACGAATCCGAAGCATTCTGTGTGTAAACAGTGGTCAAATGTCATAAACTATGTTCTACATACTTATTCAAAATTACTTATTTGAATCTCAATGAAATATGCTTTCGATTGATCTCTATAAAGGCCAAATTATAGTTTTTTATAATACATTTTTGCAAATAAAAGCCCAATAAATTTGTTTTTCGCACATTTTGCACCAAACTGGAGTCATTTTTTGAAAAGAGATTTCAATCAATGAAAAAATGGACGTTGCAGCTCATTGAATCGATTGGTAGTGATAATTTTCTTGATTTGAAAGGAAGTTCTCTTAACATATTCAATGTAAAGTTGGACTTTCTTTAAAAAATAAATGTTTTTTCGTTTTCGTACGTAGATTTATCTATTTAAGTATTCTATTGACACGTATTGGTTAAGTATTGGTATGGTACTTTGATACAACCATACTAAAATGTCATCACAACAAACAACAAACATAAAGCGTGACCAACAACGTGATGGTGCAGCAAATTCGACGAACGGTAAATCTTATAAAATGAAAAAACAACATACCACCATTCAAACCATCACGATCAAATGGACAATACGATTTAACTCCAAGTCGAAACCACAAAAAGCGAAACAAGCTAGAAAAGCAACAAAAGCGAGAAAAGCAACCCAATAGGTGAGTACAACCACTTTTGTTGAGATTTATATCGAGAAAAAAAAATCCGAATAACCAACAAATAATAATTACTGATGAATTTTATCGATTTAAATCAAATTTTATAGTCGAGTACGAAGAAGATGACACTTTGAACCATCCACCACCCCGCTGTATGGACAATTCGTTCACCGCAAGTACCTTCGTTGGATATGGCACCATTTCAAAATCAACAAATAGATGGTTCGCATATTTGTTTATATTTCAATGATGATGATATAGCTAAAATGACTCAATTCCATAGCGCCAAGTACATCAATTTATAACATTCCCGACGAGAAATTTGCGGTAAAATAGGTGTACGCCGACATTCCGTCGCATATCCGCGGATACTCGCAATGCGAATAGGAATCCACAATAAAAGTTGCCGCAAAATGTTATCGCTGAATACCCTGCGACTATTCGCGCTGCGAACAACAGTACAGTTCCAACCTGAAGTTGGCTGCGCATGACATTTCAGAGTATTCGCAGGGTACTCGCCAACTATCCGCAATGCGATTATTCGCAAATTTCTTGTCGGGATTCTAGCGGAACAACACCCAGCGAAAAAGACGAAGTCTGGTTTTGGTGGCATCGAAAATTCGGTAGAAGTGGCAGAGACCTTGAGCACTCTATCTACTTTGACAACATCACAAGATAATCCGTCCCCTCCTGGTGTACGCTATCAATGCTGCAGCTCAACATGTTGCTCAATATCCTGAAAGCGAAACTGCTGCACGCTTATTCGAATCTATGTTACTAGCAGCAACAAGGGCGTCAATATTCGGAATGGGCTTGAAACAATTTACAGAGGGTATGCCAGTCGATGATCGATTGAAGGTCGGAAAAAAGTGGCAGGATATGATTATGAGTAATAATAAGTCTGAGCAATAGCCGCGATTAAATTCAAAAGTAACTAAGAGAATCCAAAAATGCCATTCAATAATAATAATTTTAATAAGAGTTCAAACGCAAAATGTTCAAATTAAAAAATAAATCCAAGTTTTTTTTTGCTGATGCTAAATCGGTCGAAAGTTCAAAACGAAAAGCATTTTTTTTTTCTTCAAAAGGCACATATTATTTGTCGACCGTTTTATTCTACCTGATTTGTTTTTGACTTGCTGAAAGAAGAAGAAGAAATTGATATGCGTTGCATGTATCGGTGTATGCATTAATTTTGAAGAATTTTTGAGTTCATAGATACATTTATTAAAATAATAAAATGAATGAGTACATTAACCAATGTATTCGCCATCGTTAGCTATGACTTCTAGCCATCTTTCAGGCAGCTTGTTGATTCCTCGCTTGAAAAAGTCCTCGTCTTTTGAGGTTATGTAGTCATCAACCCATTTTCGCACTTCTTCCTCATTTTGAAAGCGTACTTCAGACAGGGCAATCTGCATCGATCGAAATAGATAGTAGTCGCAAGGAGCAAGGTCTGGAGAGTACGCGGGCTGATCAAGCCGATCCCAACCGAGCTGCTCTACCTTATTTTTAACGATTGTTGCACGATGTGGCTTAGGGTTGTCATCGTGGAACAAAACATTGTGGTGTTTTCGAGCTATTAATGGCCGTTTTTCATCCAATGCATGAGCCAAATCATTCAATTGGCGTCGATAGCGTTCCTTATTATTCGTTTGATCTGGTTTTAGCAGCTCATAATATACGACTCCTTTCATATCCCACCAGATGCACAGCATAACCTTATCGCAATGAATATCTCGTTTTGGCTGGGATGACGCCGGTTGGCCGGGATCAACATACGCTGCTTTACGCTTGGGGTTTTCGTAATAAACCCACTTTTCATCGCCGGTAATAATTCGATATAAAAAACTGTGTTTTTTGTGCTCTGCAAGATGTTTTTTGCATGTGACGATCCGTGCTTTGCGCTGCTCTTCAGACAGTTGATGTGGAACCCACTTTCCCAGCTTGCAAATCTTTCCCATTGCATGCAAACGTCTGGAAATGGTTGCTTGGTCTACGTTCAACTCCAATGCAAGTTCTTTTTGCGTTTGACATGGATCTTCATCCAATAATGCTTGCAATTCGTCTTCTTCAAACTTTTTTGGCTGACCTGACCGTTCTTTGTCTTTCACGTCAAAATCTCCAATTCGGAAGCGTCGAAACCAGTACTCACATGTACTAGACGATGGAGCATTAGAGCTACCATAAGTTTCCAAAAGTAAACGATGACTTTCAGCAGCAGTTTTCTTCGAACTATAGAAGAAAAGTAAAACTTCCCGCAAATGCTGTTTTTTCGGCACGTATTTTGACATGATTGTAAGTGAAAAAAATTATGTTGTTAACGCTTTGGTAAAATAACACCTACTGAAAACTAATTTCAAATGATGTGGCTTTCACGTGAATATAGTTACAGTATGGCCCGATGCGTTATAGTATAAGTTAGGCCATCTGTAGTGGAAATTCTTTAAAACTAATGCATACACCAATAGGTGTGAGCGAGATGACTCTAAACGACCGGTTCATTTGTGTTGATGCTGCAAAACAGGGACGCAATGCACTGACTCGACGACGGCGACGACAACAGTGTGTGATTATGGTATTTGTGTTAGTGTTGCCAAATAAAATTACACTCGAGCACCTAAGTAATAGTCGCAATTATGAACATAATTGATTTCAATAGACAAACAGGTTTCTACATACACACATATGCCCGTTTCAACGTACAAATTTTAAATCGAATCGTGCCATTCGCTTCACACGGTTTTTCATTCAACGACGTTCTACTCGATTGCAAGTACTTAGAGAGTGTGCGAAAACAAAGGCATGTACTTGACTTGTTGCGATTAAGTACTTGACGTTCAAAGTAAGCGATTGTGTTTTCTCTGTCTTCACTGACATTTGTTTCGGTGTCGATTATATATGCACAATTGTTCCACTTCTATATGGCTCATATGGGGCGCGTGTTGCGATTCTTACCTCAGTATATGTTTTGTATTGGCCATTGGAATGACAACAATTACTTTATTTTTTCATTCTTCTCTTGCTGTGTGTAATATTCCGTAGCGAGTAAACTCTCGCTACTCGCTTTTCTATTGTGCTTGGCGAGAGATTTGAACAGAATTTTCTTTTTTGTTCAAATCGTACGTGCTTCGAATCAATCGAATTTCATTGATTTCGAATCGAATTTCATGTCCAAAATTAATGACGTCATTGCAAAATTAGCGAATGTGTTGAAATAAATTGTTTAAATAAAATTGAATGGTTTGTATTGAGAAGAATGTTGGTCATCATTTTCATAGTGCGTGTGAAATTTTCGTGGGTTTAAAATGTTCGATAAGAATGTTTGATCAGTCATCATGTGGATTTTCGTCGAATGTAAACAAATCAATTGCGAAAATCAATTCTTTTCAAAAAAAGAAAAAAATGTGATGCAGAAAGCGAGAGAAATCAGTGAAAATTTGCGTGCGATTAAGTGTAATTTGTGCTGTTTTTCATTCTCTTCCAAGTGATTAAAAAAAACCGAGTTGTAATTAAAAGAAAGTCTCTTCGGTAAACTCAATTTTTGTTGTTGTTTTGGAATATAGGCGCTAAGCAAACGAATATTGATTTGGGTCAACAATTAATCTTTTGTACAACGAATAATGAAAAACACAACAATTGTATCGAACGAAAAATGGCAATATTCACCATTTCATTTTACCACTGTAAAGCCACTTAATCCATCGTTCCGTAATAGCACTTGTACGATGCAAATTAAGGTCAATACAAGTTTTTTGCTTGAACAAAGACAACGGCGCTACGTTAATGTAATTGAAAACAATGAAGAAAAAGTACAAAATTTCAATTGACATGGATGGAAATGAATTATTTGTGTGATTTCCTTGTTTTCGTGCTGTCGCAGCTGCTTTTGTTTTTGTACCAACATTATCGACTGCAATTTTTTTGGCGTCGGCAGTGCACCGTGATCATGGCGCGCAACCGTGACCTAGTTCATGAAAACATATGTTTGTTGGCCTTGCAATTGCATGCACATAAAACCAATTTATACATCTTGTGAGGAAAATTGAACAAAGTACTTTCCTGCTGCGCGACACTTTCAAGCAAACAGAAGAACGAACGAATAGATGCGAAAAAAAGCCATCTAAAATACAATTGTGGTATATTTTTGTGATGAATCACAGAATGACGTCTCTCTCTCTCTGTGTGTGTGTCTCTCTGCACAGGTTTTGTTGTCATCGTTGTTGAACAATTTGAATGCGACAGCCTCTCGTATATAAAACTTTTACGATAAATCGTTAGAATCTTCGTTCGTACATACAAAGGCTATATAATTCGTGTATGAATTATTATTATCGTCATAGTTTCACTTTGTCATTTGAGGCTTACGTTGCGCTCCGGTTGAAGGCAAACAATAAAATCTCTTTCTAATTCTCGCTTGGCACCAAACCAACAATCTCTATTTATTTATTGGATTATTCAGTCGTAGTCGTTTGTCGTATGTATGATCTCACACACTGGATCACACGTTTGAACAACAAAACTGGCACGATTCAATAAACATATGACAACAACATACAATACAGATATCGTTCGCATTGCGCCGTAATGCCAATTCAAATAGGAATTTTATTCAAATGATTGCCTAAGCGAATACGCCACTACCACAATGTCGTCACAATTATTTTTAATGATTAGTTAGTTTTGTATTATACATATTTTTATTCTGTTCCATTCAGACGAAAGACGCTATTAAAAACCAATTTACTAACGCTAATGCGCTATTTCGAAACTATCATTTCAATTTATCTCTCTCGCTCGCTTTCTTTCTCATTACTTTGACTCCTCGATGTGATAGATGTAATTGCGATTTGAAATTAGCATTCTTACAAACACTTTGAACAATCTAATGCTATTGTTTTGGCTAACGTACTTTTTTCTGGGCATTTTTTTTTGTTGTTGTTTCAGGCAAAAAAAATTCTGTATTGACCGTGGATCTTTTTAGGATTCTTCACTTAAAACTTTCACAAAAGTGTACTTCATATTGAAAAAACAATGGCAGCAAACTTTGAACATTGGAAATCTCAGTAAGTCAGAAGAATTCTTGGAAATTATGCGAAAAATTACACTTATGTAATTGGTATGAAGAAAAAAAAGTTGATTTTGATTAAATGTTTCAATTTTAGTTTAGCATGCTTTAGAAATACACATGTGCAATTCTTATCTTGTGATAAGCTTCTCTTTCCCACGAAATAGCTGTTGTAATCAAATTTCTTTGGTCTTTTTTGTTTTGCCCACAAAATCAGATTTCATATCTTAACATGGAACGTAAGCTCAAAATATCCGGAAAATTTGCCGGTTCACATATTGCTGGGATTGGAAAAGAAATCTGAAATGGACACACACCAACCGGATTTTATTGTGATTGGGTAATTTTTCCCGTTGTAATACTCTCTTGAATTTAAGAGGCTAATGTCCTATGAGGTTTAATCAGTTGCAAAAAATGAATCATAAAAACAAAAAGTCATTCAAATTCGTCAATTCTACAGTTTGCAAGAGATAAATAGCCAACCGCAGAGTATGGTAAAGGGTTTATTCAAAGATGATCCATGGACGCAACGATTCAAGGAATTACTCAGCGAACGTGGCTATGTGGCAATCAAATCCTTGCAAATGCAAGGTTTACTTCTGGTGGTATTCATGAAGCGAAAACACTTGCTGCATGTACGCGAAGTAGAAACTGAATACACTCGAACTGGCCTAGGTGGCATGTGGGTATGTATGCGTGAATCAGCTTGACCGGCCGATTCATTCGCCGTTCATTCAAAAACTCTCTCAAAAACCATTCATTTCTAGGGTAATAAAGGAGCTGTGAGCATTCGATTTAAGTTGTATGGCGTGTCGGTATGCCTGGTAAATTCGCACTTGGCCGCCCATGATCATATGCTGGACGAACGGATAAAAGATTTTGAAAAAATCGTTGACGAGCACAAATTTCACGTTAAGAAAACACGAGACATTTTTCAGCATGAGTAAGTGATATACATGTTAATAATAAACAAAAGAAGACATTTCGAGAGCTTTCCGTTTAAACATTAGAAATGATAAACTAAGCAAATATTTCTTCTCGTGCACTTTAGTTACGTTTTTTGGTTCGGCGATTTAAATTTCCGGTTGACAAAAGAGGATGAGCTCTCACACAGTGATATAAAGGAAATGGTTCACAGGGATAGGCTGGATGAACTGGTTGAACTCGATCAATTGTCGATGATACGTCGTCAAGGCCGTGCATTTGCCCAATTAGAAGAACGATTGCCCGCTTTTCCGCCAACATTCAAATTCGAACATGGTACCAATGACTATGACACAAAGTGAGTTTCGGTGTTATTGCTCTAAATGATTTACCCAACTTTGGAAAAAAAAAACTAAAGGAAAAACATTCTTTTTACAGACGACGACCAGCTTGGTGTGATCGAATCCTTTACAAAACACCGCAAGCTGCCTTCAAGAACATGGAACTAGTTACCGAGCAAACATCATATCGAAGCCATCCGCAATTCACGATAAGTGACCACAAACCAGTTACCAGCGAATTTACGATAAATGTAAGCTTAACATTGATACACTGCATCATTTTTGAGTGTAAAGACTAATATTGAGTTGTGACAATATAGAGGTTTCAACTATTTTAAGATGAATTTACACCGAAATTTGGGTAAAATGAGTTATTTTCTATGCGTTCGTCCAAACGGCTACTGTTCATATACGCGCTAATACGTAGGCACGCACTGGTGCCGAGTCTGTAAATTTGTATGTATTGTATAAGTTGTTGAGTGCAAAATTTACAATACATGTAAATACACAGACTCGGCACCAGTGGGTGCCTACGTATTAGCGCGTATATAAACAGTAGCCGTTTGAACATACGCATAGAAAATAACTCATTTTAGCCAAATTTCGGTGTAAATTCATCTTAAAATAGTTGAAACCTCTATATTGCCACAACTCAATATTAGTCTTTACACTCAAAAATGTTGCAGTGTAGCTAGTCGTTTGGAATGCAGATAAATTCTTCTTGTCTAAAGAAGAGTCTTGTATTAATTGCTAAAACGATATGATATTTTCAAAAGGTTTATGAGGATCCAACGGACAAAATGGTTGAATTTACACCGTTGCACATATGGGAGATCGGTGAAGAAAATAACATCGAATATACGTTGCCACTTGGTTTTGACGAAATGAGCAGTGATTGGGTGGGAATCTACAAGGTAAATAAATTATTCGCGCATTCACTTCACTCACACGCACGTTAACCTTGAAATATTTTGCAGGAAAATTTCGACAGCTTGGATGATTACATTACGTATGAGTACACATCACGAAGCAAAGCACCGAACGGTGATTATCCGCACGACAAAGTCATCTATCATTTAGAATTTCCCGATACCGTTGACCTTGAAGAAGATCAACGATTCGTATTGTTGTACTTCCACAGTAGCAAAAATGTGACGAGCTTGGTCGGAATCAGTGAACCATTCAAGGCCGAAAAACGATGTCCATCGCCACGCTTTGAATCGGTTGATTAGATTCGGTTCGCCGTTGTTTACATAGATTAGCTTCGATTAGGTTTTCATTCAAGCATTTGCAACGCAAAATTCCAACAGAAACTGTTCTTTATTTTGTTGAATTGTTTTTCATTCTTGTACTTGTAGGCACTATTTTGCTACTAGTTAAGTAGCAAAACCAATTTTTTTTTAATGTACCAAAATTGACCATTTCAAAGTAAAATTGAATACTTGAAGGAAACATCGTCACAAAATTCACACACTCATATTAGAATGACCGACAAAATAGAATACGGTTACAGCATATATGTTTCGAAGTGCAAATATTTCTGGAACGTAAAGCGTTTTTTCAACCGAAGAAAAGTTAGTATTCTATAAGTGCTTAAACACAAAATGATGGTTGTTAAAAATTAATTTAGATGGAAATTACTTTTGAAATTCATAGAATCGCCGCCTTTTTCCAAAGTTCATTCTTTAGATATTGTATTGAAATTTATTTATATATGGATTGCTTCGTCAGATTGCTTAAGATCGAACAAAGTCTCTTCAAACACAATTACAATCATTGAAGAGATTTGTTTCGATCGGTTTGTCGATGTGTTTGCCGTTTTTGTTTGTTGTTATTCTGCCAAATTGAACAAATTATTTATTTACATTGAATTTAATGTTAGGAACTTTCAAAAGCTTTAGCAACACTCAAATTTTTCAACGAAGAATTTTTTTTTTATGACAAACCTTTCAACATCTTTCGTCATCCACAAGATGCTTAATTCAATCACACATTTAGTGCATTTTTCCCATGTCGAATATAGTATTGACAAAAAAAAACGAAACTTTGTTGAATCGCAAGAATATTATGTGCATTATTTAAAAAGAAATTAGGAATAAATTGAATCTCAAAAAATCGCGTTAAATAAAAATCAGGTGCTAAATTTAACGAATCTCGATGTAAATTCATTCTGCCCTATTTGAATGTGATGCAAATCGTGAAAATTACTTGAAGAATTTTTTTATGACAAATTCATGCCGAATTTCGAATGCCGCTCTCGACAATTTTCTGTTTGATTGTGCTTAGAATCTGTATTGCACATATATATTTCTTTAAGATCCAACTGTAGATGATTCATTACGCTACAGCTAGATGGGTTAAAGACATTTACATTTTTATAAAGATTTACTGCAAAAAATAGACATACACTTAGATTAAGTGGAAAAATTAAAAGTTCAAAGCAAAAAAGGTTCAACAAAAAACGTCTTTTTTTCTACAAAACTCTATGGGTTAAAAAGTTCGAGAAATTGATTCAAATCCATCTTGTTTTTGATTCTGAAATCATCTTGTTTTTGATTACTTCTTGCTAAAGGTAAGTGAATAATGAAGAGTGATCACTAGCCTCGAGTGCTTTCCCTTCAATTGTCCAAAAAAAAATCATACAAAATTTTTGTAATAAAATGAATTTTTCTATCAACATTGTCCAATACCTTTATCAAAATGTCCAGAAAATTTCTGCTTTTTCTATTCTATAACGACTATGTTGTCGTTGTTCAAGTGTTCACATCAAAGTACTTATGATGTGTCAACCTTGAGTATTTTTTTCGTAGTTTACGCGCGAAATTGACAATTCGTTGGACTGTTCGTTGTTGATTTTAGCATGTAAACAAATTTAGGACGGTTCTGAAATGCGGTGATGCTCTTTGTGGCTTATTTTTTTTATTATTTACTTTCATTTTATTTGTATAGTTTTGCACTTGGTTTATCGTAATTAAAATGAAAATATTCTGTGAGATAAGTGTTTACAATCGTCTGGCACCGCATGTCAAACCACGATCACAACAATCAACATTGGCACTGGGCTATCATCCTCCAGGAGGTGGGAAAGATGCCGAAAATCTATTTCTCATTCATTTTACGGCAATCAATACCGTTGGAACACGCTATAAACTGCATCGAAACATTGAGAAAGTGTTCACGAAATTCGTACTGGATGGAAAAACGACAATTTCACTGAAGCAACCACCGCATGATTTGCAGATTCGTTGCGAACCAATTCAGTTGATGGCATTCATGAAAATGTTCAAAGGTGGACTAGAGGGTAAATTGGATCCGACCAAACCCAGCTTATCAACATTGGCTGTAACTGCTGTGCCGAAGAAGGCTGTGCCTGTTAAATCTATGACCATTTTAACACCAAGTGACTATCCATTGAAGGGATTACCCAAAACGCTCACCACATTGAATGTAAGTTTAGTTTCATCGAATCATATGCATTGGCCGGATCGCAATTCTTGGTTTAGAAATTTTGTACTTAATTTGTCATTCATTCCAGGTGAATGGTATTCGAAAATGCAGTCTAGACGCTCAAATTTTATCACTGAATAATTTACAAATATTGAACATGAGCAACAATAACATTGAGCATTTGCCAAAGCGATTGGGTGATTTGCCAATAGTTCAATTGGACTTGTCAAACAATCGACTGGGCAAATCTGTGCTTAGCGACTGGGATTGGCTGGATAAACAACGAATCAAATCATCACTACAAAATTTCAATCTAAGCAACAACGATGTAAGTTAATCTCGGCGACTTTTTCAATCGCATTTTTCGATTCTAATTTCGTGTTTTCGGATATTTTAAGCTCACATTCTTTCCATATAAATTGGTAAAACTACGAAAGCTAATGGTGTTAACACTCAAAGCCAATCGCTTAACACGTGTTCCGTTTGCCATTCGCCGATTGAAAACGTTACGCACCTTAAATTTAGCCGATAATCAGATTAAATCGCTTCCCAATGTGTTCTCGCGTATGTCATTCGATACACTTGATGTGTCCGGTGATGAGATGCTTACATCGCCTTATCATCAACATGAACCAGACTCCATGCCGTTGGCAAAAAGTGGCGATATTTTGCGACAACCGGCAGCTTTATGGCAGATAGCCGCAATGGTTGTGACGAGAAAAGTGTAAGTATTTTTTGCTTCAGTATTCGTTTGAGAAAATTATTGAAGAAATCCCATTAGAATATATAAATTGAATGGAGAATTCGAATAGTGTGAAACTTAGGCCTCATCTCTTATACTTTGCAATTAAGTCATGATTTTTACTATTTTCAGCATTAAATATGGACCATACGATTTGCCGATGACTGTGATAGATTCACTCGAAGAGTATCCGATGTGTGAATGCGGCCGATTGTGTCCACCCAATAAAATTCACTTTCGAACGTGTGTCATTCAAACCCGAACAAATAGCTTGATTCAATCGCTCCGACTTCCCATTCTTGGTGACTCGGTTTATTGCAGCGACTACTGTCAATTACAACATTCTGGCCGAAATAAAGCGACTTAAATAAAATATTTTCATTTTTTTGTTTCGTTTCATGAAAAAACTTTGTTTTTCTTCATAATTTATTCATTAAAAAATCATTTAAACCATTTGAAACGAACATGTTTTTTTATTATTGAATTGGCCAGCAAGTCAAAATTAACTTAACGCTTATTTTTGTTCAGTGTTTGATTTTGTCGACTATTCGAAAATGGCAGATTGACATTAGCGCCATCTACAGGTAGCCGCCTATATATTCATGCATTTATCGTGACGTTCGTTCACATCTCCATATTTTTTGCTTGTCATCCATCGCTTATAGATTCGAACATAGCTGCTTGCTAGAGAAGTTGTTTTAGGTTGTGTACAAGCTCAAATTAAAGTTGAAAACTCAGATAAATTTAATAAATTTTTTTTCTCAAAGAATCTGATTTGAACAAAACAAAAGTCCAAAATGTCGCGTGGTAGTTCTGCTGGTTTCGACCGTCATATTACAATTTTCTCTCCAGAGGGTCGATTGTACCAAGTCGAATATGCATTTAAATCGATCAACCAAGAAGGACTGACTTCAGTTGCTGTAAAGGGTCAAGACATCGCAGTGGTCGCCACGCAGAAGAAGGTGTCGGAAAAATTGATCGATCCAAATACGGTTACGCATTTGTTCCGTATAACGAAGACAATTGGCTGTGTGATGACCGGACGTATTGCTGACAGTCGTTCTCAAGTTCAGCGTGCACGTTATGAAGCGGCCAACTGGCGCTATAAGTATGGTACAGATATTTTAGTCGATGTGCTATGCCGTCGTGTTGCTGATATCAACCAGGTTTACACCCAAAATGCTGAAATGCGCCCACTTGGATGCAGCATGATACTGATTGCTTACGATGACGAAAAAGGTGCTTGTATCTACAAAACCGATCCAGCTGGATATTACTGCGGTTTTCGTGCGGTTTCCGTCGGTGGAAAACAGACCGAAGCCAATAGTTATTTAGAGAAGAAATTGCGAAAGCGTACGGATTTGAAGGAAAACGAAGTTATACAGTTGGCCATTTCGTGCTTGTCAACGGTGTTGGCTGTTGATTTCAAACCATCCGAAATTGAAATTGGCGTCGTTACCAAAAGTGACCCAACGTTCAGAACATTAAATGAGGACGAAATCGACACTCATTTGACCGCCATCTCCGAAAAAGATTAATCGATCACAAAACATTGAATGATATGATTCTTACATCCATAAAATCAAATTATTTTTTATTACTGTAATCACTTTTGAAGAGAACTTTTCCAATTCTATTTAATAAAAAGAAATCAACAATGAAAGAAACATTTGTTTGACTGATATTTATTTCATTTTTTTTTTCTCGAGTCAGAACTGAAGACTTTTGAATATATTTTCATGTCCATAGATTGAAAATTGCAACTTACCTGTTGGAATGTTTACATGTAAGTAGCTTAGCAATCTCAAGAGGTTTCATTGAAATTACTTTGACTCATTTTCAATAGGAAGGCGAAGATCTGTTTCAATTGATTTCAACATGAACAGAAACCGTAAATTGATCGTGAAACATTGTGAGCTGCTCTTTGCCCATAGTACGCATCATCTCGCATAAATCAATCAAAATAAAACCAATGCATTGCATATTTTTATAATAAAAATCGTTTCTTTTTCCTTTTTATTGTATTCATATCATTAATTTGTTGTTAACTAAGATCGTCGCATGCTCAACATCGTATTGATTTCCCAGATGATTATTCGAATTCGATCGATTATTTCGCGAAGTTGCTTATTTTTAAGTGTAACCGCCTCGGTCAGTTCACGATTCTCTTGCAGTAATTTCTTATATTCTTCGGAATGAACCGGATCCGGTTTGTTATCAGCCTCATCTTTGAATGGCAATAAACTCTCGATATTTGTGTTCTCAATACCTGTGAAGAAATACAACGAAATTAGAATAGTGCCGATGCAAATGTCTAAAACAATCGATAAACCTTCAAGTAGCTCACCCAATTGGCAAGTATCATTGCACTTCTCGAAAAGTAAGCGTAACCGTCGGAACAGCAATCGAATCGTACGGAATTGTTCGGTCACCTTTTTATCGGTCGTAGTTGGTGCTGGTTAGAGAGATTTTCAATTGCTAATTAATATTCGAATTGATAAAAATTGGTTCGCTTCATTCAAATCGTCCATTTGATCCGAAGACAAACAGTATTTTTTATATTGATTGACTTACTATTGGTTCCAATCGGTGGCTGTACAGTTTTAAGCGTGCTAAACACTTCTTGGAATCGGCTTACGATATCTTGTACGGTCTCCTGACCATAGCGACATAAATAAACTATATTCAAATTTTGATGTTGTTGTTGTTGTTGTTGTTGTTGAGCCTGCTGTTGAGCTTGTTGTTGCTGTTGGACTTGCTGCTGTTGCTGACCTTGTGGCATCTGCTGTGACATTTGTTGCTGCGGTGTCTGAAATTTATCGAGCAATTCATTACACTCCTGCGTTCCACATTTTATTTAATGTGATTGTACCTGGTTTTGTTGGAGTTGCTGTTGATTTGGTTGAGTAACCGGCACCATTTGATTTGGTAGATTTGGATTTGGCTTCGGGCCAAGAACGCCTCCACCTTGAGGTTGTTGCTGTGGCGGCGTTTGTGGTGGCATCTTTACCTGCATTTGCGGCTGATTTGGATTCATCTGAGGCATCGACTGAAGATGCTGAAAGGAGATTTGGAATGGAAATTTCAATTTTTGTGTGTTCATTGAGTATCAATCCATAGAAATTTATCAAATACTTAATTAAATATGCTCAAAAACAGGTGAAAAGATTTCAGCAACTCACCTGTTGTGGTGGCATATGGAATTGCTGTGAGTGTTGTTGGTCCGGAGTGGGGCGATCGTCTGTCATCATCTAGAAATCAAATTGAAAACATAATCATATCCTCATATATGTAGGTCATTTGTATTGTGATCGAAAATACGCTTACCGGTTGTTGATTTGGATGATGTGGTTGTTGATTCATCATTTGCATCTGTTGTTGAAGGTGATGCTGAGGCTAAACGCATTGCAATGACATCGAAAATTCATTAGGATCATACGATTTGATTGTTCATCTAAATTAAATCTATCGCTAAGTCAAACGCAATGTAAATGTACTTACAAACGTATTCTGTGGAGGCGGTGTGTTTTGTGGTTGCTGCATGTGCATTGGTGAAACATGAGATGCGCCTTGCATGTTAACATGACCTCCCATACCTGTGTAACACAATCAAAAGATTAATTCAAAGTTAATTTTAAGATTCCATCGATTAATTGAATGGAAGTGGGCATATTCCGTTTGTTTTCAATGGATATTTTACCTGGATTGGGCATGCCTTGTTGATTATAATTCATCGATTGTTGTCCCATCATTGGATTGACCATTTGGTTGGGCATTGTTTGCATGTTCATCATTGGGCCCATAACACCAGGCATATTTCTCATTTGTTGATTAACCATTGGATAGTTGCCCTGATGATTTGGGCTCGAAAATCCCGGATAATGCCCAGACATTTTTTTTAAACTATTAAACGATTTTCTTCAAGAAAACACCTACACTTCGAACTGAATTTACCGGAAAAACAATATCCATTCACCACGAATTCGAATGATGCCGAATATGTGCCGTCGTTTCAATATCAAAATACACTCTGAATTGTGATGAAATGTCAAAGTGTATCGGCAAATGGTTCCCATTAAATCCGCCAGAGGCGGAGTGTCATTTGTTCGCACGACGAATGTTGTTTTTCGATGTCGAAATAATTTTGTACATTCTGATAGGAACGCAGAGAAAAAAGGAGAGACGAGCGAAGAGAGGAAGAGTAAAAAAAAAAAAAACAACGCACACACAATATCGAGGAGGATGAGCGACAAAACTGCGTCGCACACAAATAAAATGCAAAAGGCGAAACGTCAACCGATTTATTTGGCTGTGTGTATTGTTGTATTATGACTTTTTGTATTTGGATAGAGCACACTTTCTCCCATTTAAAGCGTGTATACATTCAAAGGCCTCGTGTTCTCGCATGTGTGACTCTGTTGTGTTGTGTTTTTTTTTCTCATTCATATTGTTGCTGTTTCTCGCACTTCACATTCCAATGTAATAATGTTAATAATGTTTGATTCGGTTTTATAAGCTTGTTTTCATTTTGATTTTCGATGGTGTGCAAAGTGTCAAAATCATAAATATCGGAAACGAGCTGTTGAACAGAGCATTGTATTTTTCGCTTCGCACACTTTGGTTTTTTTTTCGTCGTCTTCTTCTGGCTGTGCGAATTCTAAACAATCAAAGCACGTTCGTCGGTTTATCAGCCGATTTTTCGGTCATCACAGAGTCAAAGTCAATACACGATTGGTGTGCTGTGTTTTTTTTTCTCGTTGGTTCGTAATTTCGGTTTGCCCGGTTCGTTTTGGTATATATTTTTTTTTTCTTCTTCGCATCGATCATCATTTGGTACATGAATATCATCATAGAAAAATATTTATACACACTCACACCGATTTTTTGCGATTAAATTTAATCGCTGCATTTCACGTGTTCGCATTAATTTGAATAAATTGAAATCGAGACCACTCAACATTTTACATATTATTTGCGATCCCTTGGTGTATTGAATCAGTATGGAGTTACTATTGCAAGCGATTGAAGAGGTGATTATTTCCGTTCGTGTGTTGTGATTTGATTTTATTTTGCTTTCCTATCCAACGCAGTTCATTTTTTTCTCTCTTCTATTAACTATGTATACAACATGAACATTGTGAGTATATGGTGTGTTATTTAATATATTTGTCGTTTTTTTTTCTTTCTTTCGTTGGATTAGAAACTATCACATGTCGACAGTGAACGCAATAAATGGCTACAGTATAAAGAGGAACATGTTCAAGCGGGTAATAATTTACGTGAATTTCAAAAATCATTTCGCAAAGATATCCTTGTTCCGATCGGTTCGAAGGCATTGATGCCCGGCCAGTTGTACCACACAAACGAAATATTCGTGGGCATGTATCGCGGATTATTTGTCAAGTGTTCGGCCGATAAAGCGCTCGCTGTGTGCGAACATCGATTGGGCGAAGCAAACAAACGGCTTGACGCTCTGGATGTCGAACACAAAATGTATAAGTAAGTAATAATCTGATTCAAGTATCTGTATCGATGCTTTGTTTATGACGCATTTTCTTGAAATAATTACATGCAACTAACACAAAATCATTTATCGTAACCAGAGATCGATTGGAGTTACCGGTGGACGGGCATATGTTTGGTGATTCAAATCAGGCTCAGGAAATTATCGAAGAATACAACCAAGAAGAGGAAATGAGATGGCGTGAACAGCACCGAATCCGAATGCGAGAGTACAAACAAGCTGAAGCCGTAGAACGAAGAAGTCAACAGTCAACGGAGGATGATATTGATGTGAATGCGATTTTTGAGCAGGCTGAATTGATGGAAGAACTGGAAAATGAATTGGAGCAATTGGATGTGAACGATGATGAGCATTTAAGAGAACACTTGCAAATGATAAGTGAATCAACGGAACGGTTCGAATCGTTTGAAAATGAACGAGAAGTGAACGATTCACGGCAAACCATCGAAGATATAGATAGTAATGGCGAAGATGAAATGGGCTCGACCGAATTTTTATCGTTAAGCAAACAGGCCATCGGTTTGAGTACCGAAGATAAGATCAAATTTTTCGAAATCCATCTGCTGAAGTGTCGAGACTACTTTTCGAAAACCAATTGCACCATTCACAATTTCGATGAATTTGCCGACAAACGTGGAACCGAAGAGAATTTGGAAAATGCCATCGAAGAGTTGCAAGAAACTCTCAACAACAATACCACCAAAACCACCGAACACAAACCGTCGGCAACAATTGCCGAGCAATCGAACATGCATCCGAACAGCACATGCAAGGACAAATGTAATACAGTCCATGATTCCGTTGAACCCCGAAAATTCCATACGCCCAGCGATTTTGATGAAGTGGAACGGGAGTACAGTGCTCAAAATAAAAGCAAAAGTGAACTGTTAATTTTCTACAAAAGTCAATTGCGTAATGTTATGAAGTCGATTGCTGGATGCTCACTCGATATACATTCACGAGATGAAAAACGAGATTTATATGATTTTTTAAGTGATCGTATTACTAGTCTGCGTGTAGAAATTCAGAAGGAAAAGCAAATTAAATTGGAAGAGGATTTTGTCGATGACGACGATGTCATTGGAAAAATTGTAAAGAATTTGGATCGCATCTTCGATCCGAACGGCAGCGATTTCGATTTGGACGATTACAAAGAGGACGAACCGGCGGCGGGCAAACGCAAAATTAGCTTCGCTTTACAACCCGTTACCGTCACTTTCTACGAGGATGATGAACCATGCGTTGTAAGCATTTTTTTCAGCTTGGCTCAACCAATTATGGGCCACAATTTGTGGCGATGGCTCAATCATTTCAAGCAATTGACATCAATTTCTCCTTTTTTTTCTGTAGGTATCACAAGAAAATATGAACAATTTGATGGATTCCACATTTCAATTCTTCAACAGCCCAAGCAGCTCGAGCGCCAGCAGCGCTTGTGGCGATGATGAAGACAATATAAACCATGGGACAGAACATGTAATGATGACATTTATGATAGTTTTGCTAATGGATTCGCCAATAATAATCATGATAATTTAATTAACAGCAGCCCATGAATAGTACAAATGACTGTGATATACACTTTCCAATGAACCAATTCAACGAAAGTACAATGAATAAAGTCGAAGACTGCACAAGCGTTACAAACAATGGGCCGCCAAGTCAAAGGAAACCATCAACATTGGTGTTGAAATTCAGCCATTCATCGAACCCATGCACAGCAACGGTTAGCAATGATGATGACACAATCAACAGTCCGCTTGATATTTACAAACAGTTTGGTATGAGATATTTACGATACGTTTTTTTTTTCTTCTCTCGACTAACCAAATAAATGAATGGCAACAATATTCTTAGACATCTTAAACTCTTATCTAATCTCAAATAAAAATGTCTTTTGTTTACTATAGCTGCCAGTATCGAGACATCTACGCGAGAAATTATGTCGCCACCGCTTCGGTTTAATGCTGTATCTCAATTGAATATGTCACAAATTCATGATAAACTCAATGAAAATATCGAAACCAGAAACGGGCCAAGTGTTGGTGCACCGTTTTCATTGGCGGGAAAGACATTGGAAGTACCAAATATTGATGCAAAGCCACGCAAATCGATTCTGAAGAACGGCAACTTGGTTAAGACCGAAAATCGGGCATCTATCATTGTCGATGGTGTTGAAGGTAAGAATTTGGATGAAAATAAAGATTCAACTGTTGGAACGAAATTGGAACGTATTTAAACTGATGTTATTGTTATGTCATTAGATCCACCGTATACAATTCAACAGCCAGATGATTTTCCTGGATTTACACAGGTTTGTATAATTTACTTATTATACCACGATATTCCATTTGCTAATATGCTTGTGATTCTCTCACTACAGGTCTTGGGAGACATTGTTGAACGCGTCGCTGTTGTTGAAACGAACCAATTCCCGGACGACAATCAGTCGAGTGCAGATAATCAACCAAAGAAGCGTGTCAGTTTGTTCAAAAAGAGCCGAATGTCTTGATTCGGCCGCTAAACCAACCAATCATTTTCTACCGCGCACACACACATACATACATACATAAAAAAATAACGTCATTTCTATAAAATTTCTATCAACATATCTTCTTTAAGGAAATCAAATTCATTGATAAAGAAAAAAAATGTCGCCTTTTTGTACGAAAAATATTTGCACGAAATGGTTTCGAAAGCCGAATCCAACAAAAAAAATGTTAAAGAGAGCAACAAACACAGTCACATGTTTTATAACAATAACGAATATTGAAATTACCCAGGATTAATTGATGCAAATGAAGATATGTTTATATGCAAGCAACAATAAAAATTATGAAAAATGGAAAAAAAAAAATTCTAAAAGTAACATAATAAAATACATATTTTAAAATGAAAATCTTCTTGGAGTTTTCAGCTTATACTGATTTAATGTAGATGGCAGCCTACGTTTTTTTTTCTTTTCATACATTGTGTTCGTACACAAAGTTTGACAGCTACGAGCAATCGTGTTTATTTTTATAAATGAACCTGAAAAAAATGAGGCTTTATCGTTGAATATTGGCCATTCTTTAAATATTTTCAATTGAATTTTTTAAAATCACTACTTTTGGGGTTAATCGCAATTGTGTTTTGAACGAGAGCAACATATAACGATTTATATGTGAAAAATGTTAACAACTGAAGGATCAACAGATCCATTGTTGGATGGGGTGAAAATTAAAGAGGAAAAACTCACACCACCAGCATCACCGAACGTAAATTCAGCGACTGCCCTTACCATTACCGATAATTTGCTGGACAATATTTTAGGCGAACGCAAACCCATTACCGAGCCAATTAAAACTTCGGATGAAATTTTAGCCGATTTATTTAAAGTGTTTAACGCAGCACCACCCACACTCGATGACGATGGTTCCACAAAGGATGCAAGCAGCCATAAGAAAAAGAAGCATAAAAAGGAGAAAAAGGTGAAGAAACACAAGAAACGTAGTCGAAATAACAGTGAAAGTAAATCATCCGACGATGAATCGTCCAAAACGAAAAAGCACAAAGTTAAAAAGGTGAAAAAACGTGAACTAGAAGATGATGAAATATATAACAAGAAGCGACACAAGAAATCGAAGGAACGTGTCATTAAAGTAAAAAAATTGGATGTTACTGTTAAAAAGGAGATAACCGATGATGTAAATGCCAGAAAGACTAATGATTCGAAATCTCATAGTGACGCAAAATCAAAAACACATGATTCAGCTGATGCAAAGGCAAAGAAACCGTCGAATGGTGAGAAAAAGCCGACATTGAGCATTCAAGTGTCTGTGACGAAGGACAATGATGGATCCGGTAGCAAACGGAAAATTGTGATAAAAAGCCTGGTCGATAGTACGGTTTACCAAGATACCTTGAAAGAAGTGGACGCAAAACAGAAGGAAAAAGAGCGGGAAAAGTTAAAGGAGAAAGAACGAGAAAAAGAAAAGGAACGGGCAAAAGAATGCACCAGAGATAGAGACAAACGGAAGCACACGTCAAGGCGCTCCAAGTCAAATGAAAAGGAACATCGTCGTAGTGCAAGATCTCGTTCATCAAGCTTATCGTTATCAGACGAGGAAACTTATCTACGTGAACGTGAACGCGACGTTCGCACTAGGGTGAGTTATTCGTCATACTAATATATACTACAAAAAAAAACAATGCAAAATTCGCTTTCAATGAATTTTCGACTTTTCAAGTTTAATCCATTGAATTTCAAGGAAACGGATTTAGGAGATGAATATAAGAGACCGTTTTCTATACTCTTTGCTACTATTCAATTCACTAGTTGAAAATATATTGATGAAAGTGCAAATAAATATCAATTTCACACAGGATCGGGATCGGGATCGGGATCGAGATCGGGATCGGGATCGAGATCGTGAAAAAGAAAGAGATGACTTTTACGGAGATTATCGGCGCGAAAGTGACAAAGACTTGGACCATCGAAGACACCGCAGCCGCAATGATTTCTATCGACATGACCACCATGATCGAAGGTAAACACAATATTTTATGATTACTTTGATTGTTCTAATTGATTATTGCAATTTTTTTTCCTGATTATGTACACAGACGTTCCAGATCATCATCTCGTCATCGTGATAGAACTAGCGAACGAATAGATAAAAAGCGTTTGCTTGAAATTGCCCGTAAAAATGCCATAACCATGTTAAAAAATGGAACATTACCCGGAACGCATAACATGGATCCGGAAGCAAAGGAAAAAGCCTTAACGAAAATGCGATACGGAGGTGCTTGATTGAATGATTGAAAATAATAATCTAAGTCTAAATGAATAGCAACCATGAACGTTGTCCAATATTCTAGCCATTTCAGAAAGTTTTTTTTTTTGGTTTATTCACACTAAAATTTACATTTCAACTAATGAACTGTCCAATTTTCATGTGCACAGGAAAATCCGTGGATGAATTAACTGAATTCTGTAAAAAACTATCAAAAGGTGAAGCGAATGGTTATTTATCAAACATATCTGGTGATAGCGATATCGATGCTGATCTCGAAAAGCCATTCCATCATCCATTTGTTATCAAAGATCGCGGCCCAATTGTAATGAATATTAAGGTAAATTTCATGTATATGCTCATTGAAATTGAAACTTCCGCTAAAATTTACAACTTCTTTTGACTGAATTTTTCGTTTCTTTTGTGTTACAAACCATTTCATTTCAATTAATTTTAGAATTCTACGCCAATTCCACCGAAAACGGCGGAACAAACAAAAGCAATACTTATGCAATTTCCTGTATCATCTGGCCAACACCATCGTCTCAATGAGAGTGAATGGGTACCGGTTGTGCCGCCAAAACCAGCGAAAAACAAAGAAACTCAAGAGCAATCGGCAACAGAAACGTCAACCACATCAAAATCATCAACAGTAGCAACAACGACTCAATCCAAAGCCAAAGCCAAAAACGACGAAGTTCCTCAACCGACAGCAGGTAGTTTGGACTGGACAACGAGTGATTTAAGTTGAATTTTAATCTGTCTGGTGCATTTTTGTCTTTTGTTTAGATTACGGTTATCAAACCACATTTCCTATTGCACCGCCCGTACAACCGGAGCCTCCGGTTTGTTTTGCATTGCCGCCGGTTGAGCCAGTGCGGGCACCACTACCAGTGCCACCCGTGGTACCTGCGGCAGCACCGATACAAGCGACACTACCGACAGAGCAGCCATCCGTAACGATTGACAACATATTTGCAGATCAAAAAACGGGCAAAGACTTGGATGTAACATCCATCATCACGAAACGACTCAACGCAATGCGAAAACTTCAAGACAATCCATTGGATTCGGAAGCAATAAAACTTATGTACAGAACACAAAAAGATGTAAGTAACTATTTTCGATTGAATCAAACAAGAACGTATCAACTGATTGACAACATTTTTTCTTCGTTTTTTTTTTCTTTCTTAGATGTCCGCATGGGCAAGCTCAAAATTTGTTCCTGGTCAATTCACTGGCAGCACTGGTGCAAGCATTTTATCGACGAAAGAACTTGCCTCTGGCTTTCAAGCGTGGGCTAAAAGAGTTAGTTCATTTGTTTTTTTTTTCTTTTTCCCTCCCATCAAATAAAAAGAGGTTGTTAAATACCAAATGATACCATCTACATACAACGTGGACATGACTCAGCCAACCGAATGGTTATTTAAATATTTGTTTTTGAGTGAAACAAAAAAAAGAGTAATTGCCGCTTCAAGTCCACTATTGTGATGAGTTGGTACCATTTGAACGACCACATGTGATTGATAATATGCATCCCTGAGCGATTCCTTTGATACAAATTGCAAAGATGTTCAACATTTTGCTTTTGTATGAATCGAATCACTCGGTGCACGCACATTGAAAATTGACCGTAAACACTACTTTAGATTAGAAATGGATGAGTTCCGAATAAATACAAGAGAATTCCAACCTCCTGCCAACATTCTCAACGAACGTAAATAAATGCTAATTGGAATTGTCTCATGTTTACTTCGAAATCAACCATTTCCAATTTGAAGCCGTGTTTTTTTCTATTCTCAAAAGGGATTTTTTGTGTGCGTGCCTGGAATCAAATCAATCTTTGTGACAAACATTTTCAGCACTGCTACGTGATGCATACAACACACATTTGAATGTTTTTACAATTCATATCCATGCAGAGCCAACAGCATATTGGCCGCTGCATGAACATAAACTGTAAAAATTATCCAAATTATAAACTTTGCTTCCAAACGAAAAAAAAAATGCAATGAATAACAATGAATGCCAAAGAATCCTTTGCATTCATTGCTATTCATTTTGTCTGCTCAAGAAAAAGCACTCGAATTTTCGCCGAAGAAGTACTTATGAGTCAAATCGATTGTTTGAGTATTTTGGGAAAATCGATGAAAATACTTTGATAATAAAACTGGAATTGAGCGCAATACCATTTTGGATAAAACAATTGAATCTTCTTCTGATCTCGGACAGTGTCTATTGCGCCAACTGCAGCTTTATTCGTGCGATAAGTTTATTTTCATTGATTTATCCCATACTCTCTCTATTTCTCTCATCCACCACAAATGACTCTACAGATTTTTATGTGCAAAATTTACACGATTTAAATGTGCTTGAATTCCCGCTAAAAAATTTAAAACTCGCTATTGCGATGGAATGCGGCAGTAAGTATAAGTGGATAAACAATAAGCACACATTTTATGAACCAAAATAGAAAAAAAATATACGTTAGAATTTCATTTCGTAAATGTTGAAATGAGCCAAAAAAAGAGAGTACATATTGATATTGACCAATCAAATAAGCATACATGAAACTAATAGCCTTTTTGTTTGTTTTGTTCTTTTCCCCAATTGGCAATTGATATGAATGCAGGATCAGTTGATTTCAACGACACCCGTTTCGGGTGGAATGGGCATGCATTTGCTGCAGAAAATGGGCTGGAAACCGGGCGAAGGTTTGGGCAAAGAGAAAAACGGATCATTGCAACCATTATTGTTGGAGGTGAAACTAGACAAAAAAGGATTGGTTGCCGAAGAAGAGGTGCGTATGAAAGACGATGGATATTTTTTTTCTCGATACAGTTCACTTGATGGATTTCAAATGATTTTTTTCTTTCCAGAATCCACAAGTGCAACGGCAACGAGCACAAGCCGCTAAAAAGAACAAAGCAACCACACTTGCGATGGCCAAGCAAAACTTTGAAAGCAAACATCCCGTGTCGTTGCTCGGTGAATTAAGTGCAAAACGTAAACTCGGAGCTCCACTCTATGATCTAGTCATGCAAGAAGGACCCTCACATCAGCGACAATTCTTATACAGCGTATGTGGATGTCATTTTTATGGAAATTCATTTGTTCAGATCTTTTTCCATTTATTTACAGTCAAATATCAAATTCTTCCAATAACTCAAGAGATAGAGAAGAAATGAGCTCATTTTTCAACGATACGTTTCATTCTAGGTGACAATTAACAATCAAATTTATCAACCAAATATTACGAGTCTCAATAAGAAGGAGGCAAAAGCAGCGGCCGCCAAGTTTGCACTGCAAAAAATGGGATTTCTATCGGACGTACCGATGCAAGCACAGGCTCCACAACCAGTACAACCACCACAGCCATATACGGCACCAACACCTGTTCAAAATCCATTTGCAAAGACATTTTAAAAGCAATCGTGCTGTACTGAAAAAAAAGATAAGTTTTAATACAAACAATTGTATCATATGGAATAAAAAGGATGAATTTATTCTTTTTTCAAGAAGAAAAAATAATGATTTTTTCTTTAAATGATGTTTATGAAGGAAATGAGATGAAAAAAAAAGTCGTTGGTATAATTCAAAAACAACAAGCGACTCTACAACAATGTGTTGCCACATTCGAGGTTATCTCGCGCGACGCCTGGCGGCCAAAGTGAGAAGTTCCGCTTTTCAGCCATTACAGTTGGTACTAGATATCAACAGTTTTTTTTTCCATCTTCGCATTTGGGATATTGTTGTGTCGCGTCGTTCGCATTCAGTTTCGCTGCAGTAACATTACAAATTTTTGTTTTTTTTTCAATCATTTTTTTCGAGCGGCAAAAAGAATTATTAACTAAAAATAGAAATTGGCAACAGAGATTAGTGTCGTTCGACGTAAATAAACTTTGTTTAATTGAAGTATTAAGTTTTTGGCAAAGTTTCAAGTCAAAAAAAGAAGAAAAACCAGCGCGATCGGAAATTTTCACCGCTAAAAACGGACGCGTCAGTCGTATAAAAGGTAATTGACAGTGTGTCAGTGTGTGTATGTTTTTGTTTTTGACCGTCTTTTTTTTTAACCTTATTTCGTTTGGTTGAACCTTATAATTATATTTTCGTTGTTCTAATCGTCGATCGTCTTATCTAATTTGCGTTTTCAATAATTTTCGCATCACTAAATAAATTGAATTCAAAAAATTATGCATGAAAACCGATGTACTAATTACTGCATTCACAAGTGTTTGACGAGTTTTCAATTTAGGTTACGCACCGCCAAAAAACCATTTTCTTCCTCGTTTCTGATTGGTTGTTGAGAGAGATCGTGTGTCTCAAACTAGTTTGAAAAAATTAATGACATAAAAACCGTTTCGATGCATATTTTAAGTTGACCGATAAATGTTTGGTGTTGGGAACAGTTAATTTATTCTAAGAATTTTCAACCATTTTGTTAAACTAGAGCGAAAAAAACCATTTTATTTCCCTCCAGGTTGATCAGTTAAAAGAGAAATAATTTTTGGTGAATCGAAGCGAGTGAGAAAAAAAGAAAGAAAATTATGGATCGACGTAAGAGAGGAGCAGCAGCAGCCACTGCTGTTGAAACTACGAGAGCAACACGAGCGTCGAGTAAATCACCGTCGCGACGCTCGTCAAGAAATCGATCTCCAGCCCGTAATGCGTCGCCAGCACGCACAAAATCATCGGCATCACAGCGCCGAAGTGGGCGAAATAAACAAACAGACAATGACACCGCCTCGGAAACTGATGACTCAAAATCCGAAGTCATGAACAAATTGAGTATTCGGGTGTCACCATTGAAGATGGACAAGGAGGGCATCCAAAAGTTGGTAACACGAAATCGCAAAACGCCAACAAACGCCAAAGTGTCGAACATATCAAGCGAAGGTGATGATGAGGTGGCCAGTTTGACGGCCAAGTACTTGAACAACAAACAAAGTGCTGAAAATCCAACGCCATCGGATTTGAGCGCAAAACGAAGCTACAGCCGTTCGATCAGTCGCAGTTTGATCGATGAAGAATGGAGCCAATCGGATGCATCGGAAAAAAATGATGACCCCATTTTCGGTGGTCGCATCACACGCAGCCGCAGCAAAACACAAAATTTGTTGCGCCGAGAACAAAGTCTGGCAAAAGATGCAGCCGCTGAGTTTGGCGGCAGTATTGGAGCATCGGCATTCATCGTTTTGCTTCCGCTTTTGACTTTCTTTACACAGGTACGTTTTATCTTGCATAGAAAAACAAAAATTCCGCTTGAATTGCGCCCAAAAATGGATGCTGAACAATAAATTATAAATAAACTGGTAAATAATTGTGAAACATTTTATTTTCCATTTCTCTTTGTTGCCTTGCGTTTGCAGTATGTGTGCAGCAGGCCAGAATGTAGCATCAAAGCGGTACGAGTAGAAAAACTCAAACTCATTTCGAGCTTTTTCACTCTGGAAAGTGGCTACATTTACTTGATTTTTACGTGGCTTGTATGCATACTGTCATTGATCCCGTATCTCGGGGTGAAGCGCCAATTGGCTCAAGCCGCATCGGCCAGTGAATCAAGTGGACCACGTTATTTCAACGGTTTTGCTATTGCTGTTGCCATCGTTAGCGGTTTATCTGTTGCTGAGTACTACTTCAAGTACCCGATTTTCGCACAGATTTACAAGAACTATCAGCAATTCATCTTCGTTGGATTCATTTATGCAATTGTCATTTCGGCTTGGTGCTTCTTCCGATCGAAATATGTTCCAGTCACTGCATGGAATCCATTTGCTAAGTCGGGCCGTTTGGTGAGCGACTTGTTCATTGGACGCGAAATTAATCCACGCTGGTGGAACATTTTCGATATCAAGTTGATCCATCGTCGCGTTGCACTCATCTCAACGCTGATCTTCAACCTGATCTTCCTCACCCGAAATGTGAAATTCGTCCCAGTTCCAACGGTTGAAGCACCATTGACCAACACCGAAATCATCACTCAATTCCTGCAAAGCATCCGATTCGAGCCGGTTGCCGCCACTGTATCACTATTGATCGTCGTGTATGTGATCGATGCACTCTTGTTTGAATTCCATCTCACCAGCTCATTTGAATTGCAAAATGAAGGCGTCGGCGCTCAACTCTTGCTTCAGTATGCTGCGTACCCAGTCTGGTCATCGATCTTCGCCAAATTCGCTCTGCAACACAAGATCACCGGCGTACCCAACTGGCTTTTGGTTTTGATTAGCGTCGTCTTTTTGAGCGGCTTGATTTTGAAACGTCTTGCCAATGAACTGAAATATCACTACCGTGTTTATCCAAACAGCGCTCGCTCATCCAGTAAGTTTATTGAGATTTAAGGAATTTTTACTTTTTTTTTGGATAATTTTGACATTTTTTTTATTGGAAAAGAACATTGTTTTCTTCGTTCGATTGAAGAATTCTCAAATCTTTATTTACGAACCATCTCTCTCAATTTTTATCCCTTACAGACTTGGTAACCCTGCCAACATTCCAAGGACAACGCCTTTTGATCGCCAAATACTGGTCGAAAATTCGTCACCCGAACTTATTGGGTGAAATCATAACGGCAATTTCATTGTTGCCATTGCTTTACTTCCGATTTGCTTGGTCACCACTCATCGCCGTTCTTACGTCGATCGTATTCATTGTGCACCGAGCCCGTCGCATCGACACACGCATGGCTCAACACTACAATTCGGCCTTTACGCGATACAAATCTCAAGTCCAAAAATCATTCATTCCCCGTGTTTATTAGATAGACTGTCCCAGCAATTGCCCAAAAACAAACAAAAAAATCAATTCATATCTCATCGCCAGCTCACAGCAGATGGCAGTCACTTCATAAGAAGTAAATTCTTGCTGTAGAAATAATAATACACAAAAAGCACCAATATTTTTTTTTATTCATATTCAAAATCAAACAATCAAACAAAAAATCTAAAAAAAAAAAATACTACAAAAAAATGCAAAATGACATAAAAAATAAAATCCATTCATTTAGAATTAATAAGAACGCTCACGAAAAAGAAACAACAACACATTTAAAAAAAAAAATCAAACAATTTACATTTTTATAAATTGTGTTCATATTTCACAACATCGTAATTGTTTTTTTATATGGACACCGTGTGTAAAATAACCCACTGTGGAATGTTGGAGAAGAAGACAAAATAAGGAAAAAGATGGAAAATAAAAATGTAAAAATAAGAACGTAAGAGAAATGTTTGTTCTCAGACTCGAAACAATGCAGATAACGTTGAACGAACAGTTTTATAGCGGAATAATCGTAATAATTTCGCTCGTCGGCTCTCGAATCAAATGTTTTGATTTTATAAATTGACACCGTGACACAATCGAGAGAAATTTGTAATAGATAAATATAATGTTAGAAGAGTTTCGGTCAATAATTGTAAAAGTACAAAACGTGTAATAGATTTAGAATTTAAATGCATTGCAGAAATTTTTCGATTTGATCTTTTTTTTTTGTCTCGATTTTTTTTTTCTGGAAAATTGACTAAGTTTAGAGTATAATAATAGTGACCACAATCATTTAATAAAAGAAGAAAAAAATTCAATTGAATTTCCACCGCTGATCCGTAATCGGATTGATTTATGTAATTTGAGAGATTTGGACGAGATTTTCCCCCGTAAAAAAAGACAGAAAAAAATACTCAATCAAAAAATTGAAATCCTTTATTTTTTTTAAATCAACCTGTTCTTTTCATTTTACTTTCTCTTTTGTTTATAATTTATTTCAACATAGATTTGTTTCGAAGAGTCCAAAAAAAAAACAAGTGAAATTTCGAATAGAAACACAAAAAAAAGTCATAGAAAATCAAATCGTGGACCCAAATAGAATTATAAGGAGACAAAGTTGAAAAGAGAAAAAAATCAACAAAAGATTATTATAATGAGATATAAATGAATGAATCCAAATAAACTTGAGTTTGCAATTAATAATCATATGTAAAAAAAAAACGAAGAAGAGCGAAAAGAGTGTGAGTGGGTGCTAATGCTTAAATGCACTTTCCCCATCCACGCAATTGCAATTCAAAACTGAAATGATAGTTTGTAATTTGTATTCAGTAGAGTTTTTTTTTGATTCTGTCAATTATTTTTAATAAAGAGATTCAAGGGACATTTTTTTTGGTGTTTGTTTTTCTGTTGTTTTCTGTGCTTGTCGATATTTCTATTTCTATTTCGGTTATATGCAAAATCTAAACAAAAAAAAAACCAAACATCAAAACGAGCAAACAAACAAGAAGGAGAAGAGAAAAAAACGGTTTCAAGGTGTGCGTCAACCACACTAATGGTGTTCAATTTAACAGAAATATATACTCCACATATTTGTTAGCTGAAATGAACTGTTTCGGTTGCGACAGTCCGCACCGATCGAGAGCGATTTTAAATGCAATGAGCGAGAATTTTTTTTTATTTTCGCTGTGTGAATATGAATTACCAATACACTTAGCCACTCAGCGCTCATACAGCAATGAACAATGCGTGATTGACGAAGGTAAGAGAAAGGCGCACTCGTTTGTGAGTGGCATATGATCGGTGGTTGTATTGGTTTTTTGGGCTGTTTTCTTTTAGGCTCTCTATCTCATGTGTTGATGTGTGTTATTTTTATTTTTATTTTTTTTCTGCTTCTCATTCGCTTTGCTACTTGGTGTGTTTGTGTTTTGTTTCGGCGATTCTTACTTGAAATTTTTGGATTGTACTAATCCATTTCCACACACCATTATCAAAACACACGGCATGAAATACAGGAGAAATAGCATCGCGATTACCAATGAACCAACACCAGTGCGTACGCAAAACTCGATTCACGTTCTCGCAGACACACACACACACACAAGCACGCGGTCACATACACAGTCCCCGTATTACGTATATCTTTCTGTGCAGCGTATGTCTTGTGGAAGCAGCATTCGCGCGAATTGGTAAAAACCAACAATTTTAGTTTCACTTGTGAAGGCATCGAATGTAAGTAACACACACCGATCGTGCACCGATCCACCGAAACATTTTTATTTACATTATTTTTTGTGTGTATTGTTGTTGTTGTTTTATTTTTCTGTTTTTGCGGTGGTTCAACTTCTGACACATCAAGAATATCCTTGCAAAAAGAAATTCCGAAAGTGCCCAGTGAGAATTGTAATAACAAGTGTTTGTTAAAAAGAAATTTTTGGCGATTTTCGTCGACATTTTTTTTTTCTTCATTTCTTCGTTCGTTCGTTGGTTTTTTTTTTTGTTTTTATTATTATTATTCGAAACAAACAGCATTATATAGATGTATATCAATGAACAACATCTTATATGAACGAAGCGTGCAAGTCCAAAAAGCGCATAATGCCGAAATTCAATGGATTATATAAATATGAAATGCCAAAATAAGCCAAATTGATCGATTTATAAAAAAAAATTGTATGTATATGTATATTCGTGAGAGTGAATTCGTAACCACCGTAAATAAAACACCAAATGATGGTCAACCAAGTGCGTTAATATATTAACACAGTGTGCTTTTGTTTTTGAGCCGATGCGAAAACAACCGTGGCCAGCAGCAACGAACAAACGAACCAACCAAAAAACTATCAAGTTCGAATGATTACACAATGTTGATTCCAAGCGTAGCAATATTTTAATATTTCACGATTTAACAATTGCATTCCTTCAATAATTGATTTAAATTTGGTGCACTATATCGAAACGACGAAGTTATTAAGAGAGATTCTCTAGCAGATAGAGCAATAGGATAGGAGGAGATAAAGAGGGACGAGGTGTTTATAATCATGCGTTCAGCAGCAATTTGGATTTCCCGCCATACAAGATGAATCAGTTCTTATGTTATTATTGTGTTTTTGATACATCCGTGGGATTAGACCGTGTGCGAGGCCATTGGCATTGAGTGGAAATTGTTGTGGTTGAAGCTAACCGCTAATTTGCCTTGTTCCAAAAAAAAAAAAAATAAAACCAACAACAAAAAAAACGCAATGAAACATATGAAACACGCTTCTGAATCGCCTGCGCCCCTGTAGCTGCGCACTTCCAATGCGAACCAAAAGTGTCGTTCGTTATGATTTCTTTTTCGAGCATTGCATTGAAAACGAGGCGGGCGCAAAGCACACCAAACTTTAGTCGGTTTACAACAACACCGAATGGCAAGCACCAAAATTAAGCGAAAAAGAAAATGTGTTACATGGATGAAATCAGTCGATGCGTGATCCGTATATTAAATTAGGAACGCCAAGTAGTGAAAAAAAAAACAAAAATTCGCTTATCAATCGCGGCCCAATATAATGAAGCGTTTTGTTCGTTTCCAAAGCATTGTATTGGCAGCGGCCTAGGAAAGCGGCTACGTTCAACATTTCGACACATAAGAAAATAAAAATAAATAAAATAAAAATAAAAAAATTAAATTGAAGAAATACTGAAAAAAAAACAACACAACACAAACGAAACAATCATCGTTTAACGTAACAATAAATGTTTGCACGCGTTTGCAAATAATTACAACAACACAAACAAATGATGAAAAAAAGAAGTCCAAACGAAATCAATTCGATGTGCTATATATTTAGTTAGATCGCCTTTTTTTTCTCTTTCGCATTTTGTCTGTCATTGCAGAAAGCACAGCCATTTGTACTGCACCATTTTCGATTGGCGCAAATGAACGGTTAAAAAATAAATAAATAAAGCAGAAATGTTGATTTGCATTTATTTGACGGGCACTCGCGCTCGCGTTCACGCATACTCACCACCGTGTGTAAAGCTGCACTTAACAATTCTTGCCGTGTATCACCGAAGCGCACACAAATCTCAAAATTGGTGGCTGAGACAAATATTTGGCGGGTACTTCGTTCATTCACTCATTAAAGTCTTTTTTCGACTTCAAAGCGTTCAATAACACTGCGTGTGTGTACACAAAAAAAAACAACAACAACCAAATCACAGCCGCCAATTCATTTCCAGCGTTGATTTTTGGTTCGGTGTGTTGCCTTCTTTTCTCATATGTTCGAAATGGTATTTCACGAAAGCCATTGAGTGCAGAAGTACAGAAAAAAGCAGCGGTAACGATCATACGCTCATACGATTTGAGTGAGTGAGTGAGTGGTCGATCACTCTGACTGCACGTAATTTTCAAGTGAATATTTTTTTGTGTGTTCCATTTTCAATCGCGCTACGGCGTTTTTGGTGTGCTTTTTTCTGTATGTGAGTGTGTATGCACGAGAGAAGTAAGACACTAAAATTAAAAAGAAGAGAAAAAAAAACACATAATTCGACATTTAACAAACACAGGTCACTCGAAGTATGTTTTCATTCATGCATGTTTTGCATAAATAAACTCTGACATAGAAATAAGTTGAAGGTGTGTGTTTTGCCTGCTATAGACTATAAATATTTTGCTTAAATGTCAATCGTTTAATGCCGCCACTCAAATCACACACAAAAAAATAGAAGACGAAGAAGAAAAAAAGGCCGACAAAAAACGTTCGTTCCCACATTCTCTCTTCAAACGTCTGAGACGGAGAGCGCTTTGAAATCGAAAAATTATCAGACACCATGAAATGAAAAAGTCAACATTTTAAGCGGAACAACCGACCGAAAATAGAAGAAGATGTTTGCCACAGTGAAACAATTCGCTATTCTGTCGTGTGCTAAATCGCATTCGAGATGCTTCATTTCTTACGAAAAAAAAACCAACAGCAACAACAACGAAGAAGAAGAAAAAAAATTAAAGCCAAACCATATGATTGAGTCATTACTTCAGTGTATTTGTGTATGTGTGCTTCTTTTCGTCGAAACAAAAGCAAGCAACATATCTACTTCTAATCACGTTCGCACTCGCGCCACAACCAGCTTCAGACAGCTCAAAATAAAACCATTTTACTTGTCGTACATTAAATGATACAAAGCGAATGCATTCAATTACACATTTTCACAACAATTAGTTAGCGTGCAAATGAATGTAACACGAACACAAAACATTCTTCAATTTACCCTTTCGTTTCTAGCGCATATGCTATTGCGCTGATATAGCGCTAGAGATTTGAATGGGAGGGAATTAAATGAAAGGCAAACATGAACAATATTATAGTCACATTCTTATCGTTTTCTATTTCTATTGATTGCACTTTTTGGGCGAAAGTCTGTCCGTCTCTCTCTCTAGCTGTCTGCCTCGTTCGTTCAACATGCTCCAAATCCAAATTGATCAAGCTCGAAATTAAGAGTTTTCATCAAGTGCTTGGGATAACAAACAATTCTGACCTAGTTTTTTCTCTCTGAAGAATTTCGCGAAGCAAATTTTCATTTTCTTTTTTTCTCTCTCTCTCTCTCTCTCTCTCTCTCTCTCTCTCGATGCATGTTAAGTACAATCGATACATGCATTAGTGACTATCCAACTGTACTGATTCATTTGTAATGAATTTACTATTGAAATCGTTGTCGATTTTTGTTTTTGGTTTTTTTTCGGTTAAAAGAAAAAATTAAAAAAAATGTTTTTGTTTCAGTCGTCGAGAACCAGCCACGATTGAATGGCGTATCAAAAATGAATGGTGGTGTTCGGACCTAATGGCTTTAATGTGAGCAAAACGGATTAATAGCGGAATTAGAAAGGCCGGAAAACCAATAAAAATATTTAAAAAAAAAAAGAGAAGAAAATCGTTTGAAAAACAAAACCGACCATTCAATGACATTATTAAGAGTGATTATTAAGTTTTGGGTGTAAATTTATGGGAAATAAAAAGCGATAAACAAAACTATTGAGAAGAAAAAAGAAAGAAAGAAAGAAAGAAAACCCAACAACGCCGAAAAGTGAGAAAAAGTTGTGCGTATGCCGGCCACGACGATTATAACAGCAACAGCCACAATTGAAGACGAACATCGAACGCATTGGGACAAATTGTTGTGATGATGGCTATGCGGATAAAATCTAAAGTGCACACCGTCATTTTCTCAATTATCCTAATTTTATTGGAGAACTGGGGAACAACAGCCAGCGCACAACAGCAACAGCTACAACAAACAAAAGGTAACCCACATTATTATTATGATTATCGACTTAAATGAAATGACATGCTTTTAATCCGATTTACAAATCATAACTTATGCAAAACTATGCTGCTGCATACAGGTGCTTCTTTATTCACTTCTCATCGAATTTGCTTATTTTCGAAAAGAAAAGAAAAGAAGACCGAACTGATCTGCAAACTCTCGCTTCATCCACTTTCAATTTTGCAAAAAATTCACCCTCCCCGTGGATTGAACACTCCACTTTACGAAATACGCATATTTTTATGTACAAAATTTTGCGTTTTTTTTTTACGAAATAACAACTTATTTTGTTTTATTTCATTTTTATTTCGGAATTAATAAGCAACAGATTTTTTTTCCAATGTGCGTATGTAGCCGAGCAGAAATTTTGAGAACGAAAATTCAATGGAAAAATTCTCAAAGTTTCGAAGCCATATGTATTGTTGAATGGTTTTCTGAGAAAAAAACAACACACACACACACACAACGCAGTGGCAGCAGTAGCTAACGAGATAAAATAAAAAAAATGAATAGCAATTTCAAATGAATGCATCAAAAGCACGGTGCAATCGGCTTTGTGAATTGATGTTGTAACCGATTTCAGTTGGAGAGAGAAAAACCGAACAACAACCGAAGAAATATAAAAATGCAAATATTATATCTCCTCCAAACATCTGCAGAGAGAGAGAGAGAGAGAAAGAGAGAAAAAAGAAGAATCATCTGAAGAGGCCGCTTAAAAGCTTAAATTCCAACAAACATCGCCAATTTCTTTTTTTTTTGTTATTTCTCTCCAATTGTTCCGATGCTCTTTTTTAATGCAGTTTCATTGACAATTTTGTTTCTTTCTTCGTTTTCTTCTCGGCTAGATGCCACAATGATTTCTGTGTGTGCCTTTGTTTTTTTGTTATTTCTTGGTAAGAAAGTCGAGATATTTAAAAGTGACTATGTTTCTCCATTCCCGATGCTATCTCGAGCAAAACAGAAATATAAAAACAAATCGCATTGAAATGGCGGATATCCCATGTACTGGCTACCAAGCATCAGTTTTTTTTAAAAATCTAAATGCCGAAAACCAAATTTCGTACCGAAATGAACAAGCAACGTGAAGAAAAATGCGCGCCGAACATAACAGATTGGAATTTTTATTTAGTAAAATATAAAAAATTTTTTCTTTTGAACGAAATCCAAAAAAAAAAACGATTGCATTGAAAACAAAGCTCGTTGATTAAGTAAGTAGACCGAGTAAGTCAGCGTAATTGAATTTGGTTCTCACTCGCGCTTGTCTCATTCGCATGCTTTCGCGCATACTTTTCTGGTTGCACATTCCGGATCGCGCCTGAGAGATGGCTGTGTTTTGCCTGTTGGCTGCTAGCGGCAGTGTTGTGTTGTTTCTACAGTGCAAAGACCCAGTGCGCGCGCGCACACAGACTACACAGCACAGTTTGAAATTGCTCTTGCATTTGCGCAAAAGAAGACAGAAGAGAAGAAAAAAAACACACCGTGCTGCAAGGAATGTGTGGATTAAAAGAATTTCGCACACACAACAGTGGAGAGAGAGAAGAGTGATACAAGAGAGTGAAGCGAATGAGCAATGGAGTCAAAGCTCTTGGCTTGTACAAAGATTGATATGCGTGTAGGTGTCAATGTTTACAATGTGCTCATGTATTAATATATTGAATAATACATTTTTTTTTTGGGTTTTTTTCGTACTTGTTCGCACCATGACTCTCTGGCGAAACAAGAAAAGAGTTTAACGCGCTCTTATGCACGCACAAAACCAAAGGGTACAGTTGCGTTGCTATTGCTGTTTACGGTTTTTGTGCTTTTTTTCGCTGCTGCTGCTGCTGCCGCTGCTTTCTGGTTTGTTTGATGCATTTGACAAATGCTAGCGCAAACAAAGAGCTGACGTCGGTATTGTGGGCGTCCCACAAAACAACCGTATGGAAATGCATTCATTTAAATAAATTCGACAGCCAGCACAGCCAGCTCACCCATTGCTCAATTGAAGGCGAAGTAGACACAAAAATAAATAACAAAACAAAAGATATGTAGATACATATGTATATAGGTAGTATGTTCGGCAAGAGATCAAATTTTTATGTTTGACGTGGTGATGGCTTACACAAAGCAAACAACCGTAGAAACATGTATCTAGTATTCGATCAGAAATACTTTCCTTTTTGCTTTTTTTTTTGCTACTTTTCTCAAGGTCTACTGGTTACCTCTAAATCGGTTTGCGACTTTTTCTGCTTTTTGGCTGATTCGTCAGTGTACAAAGTCAGTTGGCAACGGCCGCTCGCATACACACACACACACACTCACATGTGCTGTGGCCAATAAGACACGCTCTCTTCGCTCTTCATTCGGACCGGGTCTCTCAGATTTATGCATATTCAACAGCAACAAGCTTCTGTGTCGCTTTGTTGATATGCTAAAACAACAAAAACATTGAAGCAACAAGAAAATTATTCATTGTGCGCGAGCAAGCACTTCAAGCTTGTTTTGTTTTCAAAGTGATAATATCATTTTGGATAGATGCCAAATATGCTCTGTTATTTGGTCGAATCGAAAGAATCTAAACACCTATTAAAATAAATCAAGAAGAAATGAGATGTGAACCCAAAAGAGAGTCGAAAATGTATGAACGAATCTATTATATTTTAATATTACTACGTTGTTGTTGTCTTTTTTTTGCGTTTTCACAAATCGCTTCTTTGCGTACGCCCCACATATGATTAGCATAAATTCATTTTCGTTCCGTAGTCAAATAGCGCGATTTTATTGCGGCCGGTGCCACACATACCACTGGGAAGATTTGCCGTGAACTTTTTCGTTTTCTTTGAAAAATGAAAGTTTTTTTTTTCTTTCTATCGTTATTCAGTTTGGGCTGCCGCTGTTGCTTCTTTCATCGCAATTTGATTTGCACACTTGATTGCCTAAATAACAACAGGTCAAAGATCTGTGATCGATCGGAAATTGATTTTTTTTCCTTTGAAATCGGGGAAATCGACATGTGTCTCTATTGTGTCGTTGTTTCGTTTGTATTCCATAAATTTTTGAATTTTTTCCGGAGAAAGCATGTAGATTTTTGAGAAAATTAACCATCATAATTCCCGTTGTTCTCGATGTGCATTTGAAAGGCGAATTCCATTTTGTGAAATCGATACGCGCATGAAATTCCGATCGCTCAACATAAACCGACACGGAAGTTTCTCATCTAAACTATTAATTTATGCCTAAATTTTAATATCAAATTTGTTCATCTTTTACCTGAAACAAATTCATTTTCTGTGGCCTCATAAAGTTCAAATTTAATTGAAAATGTCCATGCAACGCGGCGTTGTCGCAATCCACAAAGCAACACATCATCATCGCTGTACTTATATATTAATATTGCATTCCAATCCGCATGATTCACATACGGGTTTTGGAGTCGGTTGTTGTGTTGTTTTTTTTTTGCTCGCTCGCTCGCTCGCTCGCCCGTCGCACAATGGAACAAGGCATTCCAATTTTATGATTATTCAATCGCAATGAGATAATATACGCATATATACTTATTATAATTTGGGTATTGGTCAAAAGTCATTTGCAAATGATAAAAATCATTATGATTGCTTTTTATTGCGGGGGGGCGCGTGTGAGAGCAGCGGCACCACCACCCAAAGCAGATCGAGGTCTTTTCAAGGAAGATGGAGAGAGACCGAGAAAAAATGTGGTTGGTGCACGATCCAAACAAAAAACACTTCAAACCAATTTATCGTCTTGAAATCGGTTCATTTGGTTCATTCATTTAATCTTCCCTCAATCTCTCTCTCTCTCTCTCTCTCTCTCTCTCACAGCTCGCATCCATCACACAACGCACACGATGTGTTTGGTAATTATTTATTTGAGACACATTTTCATTTCGTTTGCCATCATGTGCTCTCATTGTAAATGTTTGGCTGGCCAATTTTTTGTGTCTCGGTTCCCGCCCGTTGTTTTATTATTAATCTTGATTTTTCATCGAAAAAAGCGACAACAAAAAGAGAACACAGCGAGGAAAAATACAGAAACACCGAGAAATGAAAAAAAAGAGTGTTCAGAGCTCATTGTTTTTGTGTGCCATACACCATTTATGTCCCATTGTTTTTTTTTCTCGTTTATTCACCGTAATCTTTGCGAATGGTTCCTTCCAAATCTTTATTAGTTTTACTTATTCAGATGATTTCGTGCAAGCTGAATGGGCGAATGAAAAAGCAAGAAAAATCGTTTCGTTTGTACCGTATCTTGCGTTATAATTTGACTTATATATACTATATTAAATCGGCTTTGTGTGTGTGTGTTTTTTTTTTCATCTTTCGTTTTGCCTTCGAACGAGAGAAAAAACAAATACATAAGTGTGACGTACGAATATTACAAAATGTGCCCCTATTAAAATGCGTTCGCGTGCAAATTGTGTGGCTAATGTCTTTTGTTTTACAAAGATACCAAACAATTTTATGGTATCAACCGTCACACAGAGGCCGAGTTTCGCTGCAATCGAGTTTCTGCAATGCGCTTTACAAACAAATCTACAAAGCCGTTTGTGACGACAATACAGAAAAAAAGCAAACAACAGTAGTAGTAGCAGCAAACGAGCCAGCAATTGAACTAGTTTTCTTTTCCTATATGCCGTTTTTTTCCGAAGCGTTTCTCCTGCTCTTGCTGCTTTTGATAGCATGCCGAAACGAAATCGAATGTTCGGAGAAAACAGAACCAGCGAGTGTTAGACTTGTGCGCTCTCTCGTTTATATGGAGCATATGTAAATAGTTTGAAAATGAATTTTCCTACTGCGAGTGAGTGAGCGCAGCATGGCTGGGGCCAATAAGCCATTAATGGATCGTACATGGTTGAAAATTGCATGCGCAATAGCCAATGCTTAATTTACACCATTTTGAATTTCTCTGTCATTAGTCGGTCAACAGCAATTGGATCGCGCGCTGCGCGATCATACTCACATACGGCGCTGTGGCATTCGA